CTCAATTTGGAGACGGGACAGAAAAATTAGGAAAGGCGGTGGCGTTGCTGTGCTGGTGAAAGAACACCTAAAGGTGAATGAAATAATGACTGCCAATCCACAAGAAGTTGATATAATAGCACTAGAGATCTGCCATGAGGATGATTAACTAATGATCATAAATGCATACAGTCCACCGCTAAGCAGCACATGGTCAAAGGATAGTAAAAGAGAAGGTCTTATAACAATAATGAGAGAGATCATAGCGAGAGTGGATAACGATAGTTCACGACTGTTGATAGTCGGCGACTTCAACTTGAAAGCCATAGACTGGGAAGCATATGAAGCTAAAACAGAAGATTTCTGGACCTGTAAATTTGTAGACCTCATCCTGGAAACATTCTTGTATCAACATGTTAAACAAGCTACGAGGATGAGGGAAGGGGACGTTCCCTCCATGCTAGATTTGATATTTACCAGGAAGGAGGAAGAAATATTTGACATTCAGTACCTTCCTCCCTTGGGTAAAAGTGACCATGTCTTTTTGGGAATAAAGTATGCAATGCGTTATAATCTGGAAGAAAATATGAAGGTTGATGCAATTGAAAAACCTGACTTTAGGAGAGGACATTATGGCAACCTTAGAATTTTTTTTAGTGGGTATAATTAGACAGACTTGTTGCTAGGCAAGGAAGTGAATGAGATGTATGTCAAGTTTTGTGAAATATATGATAAAGGCACAAAAAAATTTATACCAAAACAGAGAAGCAGAACTAGGAAACAGGATTGGTTCAACAGAAAGTGCGAGAGGGCCAGAGACCAAAAGACACAAAAATGGAATCAATACAGGAAGAGGCCAAGCCCCCAAACATACCAGCGATACAAAGATGCGAGAAACAACTACATGGCAGTGAGGAGAGAGAGGCAGAAAGAAATTTTGAAAAAGGGATTGCAGACAAATGTAAAACAGAACCAGGTCTATTCTATAAATTCATAAACAACAAATTGCAGGTAAAGGATGATACAGAGGTTGAAAATGGGAAATAGATTCACGGAAAATGAAAAGGAAATGTGTGAAACATTAAACGAAAAGTTCCAAAGTGTGTTTGTACAAAATGAAATCTTCAGGGAACCAGATACAATAAGAATTCCAGAGAACAACATAGAGCACATAGAGGTGTCTAGAGACGAAGTGGAAAAAATGCTCAAGGAGCTAAATAAGAACAAGGCAGTTGGTCCAGATGGAGTTTCACCATGGGTTCTGAGAGAATGTGCACCTGAGCTCAGCATTCCTCTTCAACTGATTTTTCAGGCATCCCTGTTTACAGGAGTTGTAGCTGATGTGTGGAAAAAGGCTAACATAGTTCCAATCTACAAAAGTGGAAGCAGGGAAGACCCCCTTAATTATAGACCGGTATCATTGACAAGTGTAATAGTTAAAATATTGGAAAAAATAATTAAAACTAAATGGGTAGAACACCTGGAGAGAAATGATATAATATCAGACAGACAGTATGGTTTTCGATCTGGAAGATCCTGTGTATCGAATTTACTCAGTTTCTATGATCGAGCCACAGAGATATTAGAGGAAAGAGATGGTTGGGTTGACTGCATCTATCTGGACCTAAAAAAAGGCTTTTGACAGAGTTCCACGTAAGAGGTTGTTCTGGAAACTGGAAAATATTGGAGGGGTGACAGGTACGCTTCTAACATGGATGAAAAATTTTCTGACTGATAGAAAAATGAGGGCAGTGATCAGAGGCAATGTATCGGACAGGAGAAATGTCACAAGTGGAGTACCACAGGGTTCAGTTCTTGCACCAGTGATGTTTATTGTCTACATAAATGATCTACCAGTTTGTATACAGAATTATATGAACATGTTTGCTGATGATGCTAAGATAATAGGAAGGATAAGAAACTTAGATGATTGTCATGCCCTTCAAGATGACCTGGACAAAATAAGTATCTGGAGCACCACTTGGCAAATGGAATTTAATGTTAATAAATGCCATGTTATGGAATGTGGAATAGGAGAGCATAGACCCCACACAACCTATATATTATGTGAGAAATCTTTAAAGAATTCTGATAAAGAAAGAGATCTAGGGGTGGTTCTAGATAGAAAACTATCACCTGAGGACCACATAAAGAATATTGTGCGAGGAGCCTATGCCACGCTTTCTAATCTCAGAATTGCTTTTAAATACATGGATGGCGATATACTAAAGAAATTGTTCACGACTTTTGTTAGGCCAAAGCTAGAATATGCAGCGGTTGTGTGGTGCCCATATCTTAAGAAGCACATCAACAAACTGGAAAAGGTGCAAAGACATGCTACTAAGTGGCTCCCAGAACTGAAGGGCAAGAGCTACGAGGAGAGGTTAGAGGCATTAAATATGCCAAAACTGGAAGACAGAAGAAAAAGAGGTGATATGATCACTACATACAAAATAGTAACAGGAATTGATATTCGATAGGGAAGATTTCCTGAGACCTGGAACTTTAAGAACAAGAGGTCATAGATATAGACTAGCTAAACACAGATGCCGAAGAAATATAAGAAAATTCACTTTTGCAAACAGAGTGGTAGACGGTTGGAACAAGTTAGGGGAGAAGGTGGTGGAGGCCAAGACCGTCAGTAGTTTCAAAGCGTTATATGACAAAGAGTGCTGGGAAGACGGGACACCACGAGCGTAGCTCTCATCCTGTAACTACACTTAGGTAATTACTTAGGTAATTACCATACCTACACCACCATACCTACAGCACCATACCTACAGCACCATACCCACAGCACCATACCCACAGCACCATACCTACAGCACCATACCCACAGCACCATACCTACAGCATCATACCCACAGTACCATACCCACAGCACCATACCTACAGCACCATACCCACAGCACCATACCTACAGCACCATACCCACAGCACCATACCTACAGCACCATACCTACAGCACCATACCTACAGCACCATACCCACAGCACCATACCCACAGCACCATACCCACAGTACCATACCTACAGCACCATACCCACAGCACCATACCTACAGCACCATACCCACAGCACCATACCTACAGCACCATACCCACAGCACCATACCCACAGCACCATACCCACAGCACCATACCTACAGCACCATACCTACAGCACCATACCCACAGCACCATACCTACAGCACCATACCCACAGCACCATACCCACAGCACCATACCTACAGCACCATACCTACAGCACCATACCCACAGCACCATACCCACAGTACCATACCCACAGCACCATACCCACAGTACCATACCTACACCACCATACCTACAGCACCATACCTACAGCATCATACCTACAGCACCATACCCACAGCACCATACCCACAGCACCATACCCACAGCACCATACCCACAGCACCATACCTACAGCACCATACCCACAGCACCATACCCACAGCACCATACCCACAGCACCATACCTACAGCACCATACCTACAGCACCATACCTACAGCACCATACCTACAGCACCATACCCACAGCACCATACCCACAGCACCATACCCACAGCACCATACCCACAGCACCATACCTACAGCACCATACCCACAGCACCATACCTACAGCACCATACCCACAGCACCATACCTACAGCACCATACCTACAGCACCATACCCACAGCACCATACCCACAGCACCATACCCACAGCACCATACCTACAGCACCATACCCACAGCACCATACCCACAGCACCATACAGCACCATACAGCATCTTACCCACAGCACCATACCCACAGCACCATACCTACAGCACCATACCTACAGCACCATACCCACAGCACCACCCACAGCACCATACCTACACCATACCTACAGCACCATACCCACAGCACCATACCCACAGCACCATACCCACAGCACCATACCCACAGCACCATACCCACAGCACCATACCCACAGCACCATACCCACAGCACCATACCTACAGCACCATACCCACAGCACCATACCCACAGCACCATACCTACAGCACCATACCTACAGCACCATACCCACAGCACCATACCCACAGCACCATACCTACAGCACCATACCCACAGCACCATACCCACAGCACCATACCTACAGCACCATACCCACAGCACCATACCCACACTTGGTCTCCGGGGACCAGTTATCAAGACAAGGACTGAGAGAAGCGTCGTCAACTCTTATGTAATGTTTGACATTGGTGTTCAGGATCAGCCAGGCTGTTGTGACATTCTTCCTAATACCAACTGGCTTGAACAAATCTTGAGAATGTACAACAACCTAGCAAGTGTTGTTACTGCCAGTCCCTCATGGGAGAGTTGACCTGGGAGAGGCACTCCCTCTGTGAGTCCCTCATGGGAGAGTTGACCTGGGAGAGGCTCTTCCCTCTGTGAGTCCCTCATGGGAGAGTTGACCTGGGAGAGGCTCTTCCCTCTGTGAGTCCCTCATGGGAGAGTTGACCTGGGAGAAGCTCTTCCCTCTGTGAGTCCCTCATGGGAGAGTTGACCTGGGAGAGGCTCTTCCCTCTGTGAGTCCCTCATGGGAGAGTTGACCTGGGAGAGGCACTCCCTCTGTGAGTCCCTCATGTGAGAGTTGACCTGGGAGAGGCACTCCCTCTGTGAGTCCCTCATGGGAGAGTTGACCTGGGTGAGGCACTCCCTCTGTGAGTCCCTCATGTGAGAGTTGACCTGGGAGAGGCACTCCCTCTGTGAGTCCCTCATGGGAGAGTTGACCTGGGTGAGGCACTCCCTCTGTGAGTCCCTCATGGGAGAGTTGACCTGGGAGAGGCACTCCCTCTGTGAGTCCCTCATGGGAGAGTTGACCTGGGTGAGGCACTCCCTCTGTGAGTCCCTCATGGGAGAGTTGACCTGGGAGAGGCACTCCCTCTGTGAGTCCCTCATGGGAGAGTTGACCTGGGAGAGGCTCTTCCCTCTGTGAGTCCCTCATGGGAGAGTTGACCTGGGAGAGGCTCTTCCCTCTGTGAGTCCCTCATGGGAGAGTTGACCTGGGAGAAGCTCTTCCCTCTGTGAGTCCCTCATGGGAGAGTTGACCTGGGAGAGGCTCTTCCCTCTGTGAGTCCCTCATGGGAGAGTTGACCTGGGAGAGGCACTCCCTCTGTGAGTCCCTCATGTGAGAGTTGACCTGGGAGAGGCACTCCCTCTGTGAGTCCCTCATGGGAGAGTTGACCTGGGTGAGGCACTCCCTCTGTGAGTCCCTCATGTGAGAGTTGACCTGGGAGAGGCACTCCCTCTGTGAGTCCCTCATGGGAGAGTTGACCTGGGTGAGGCACTCCCTCTGTGAGTCCCTCATGGGAGAGTTGACCTGGGTGAGGCACTCCCTCTGTGAGTCCCTCATGGGAGAGTTGACCTGGGAGAGGCTCTTCCCTCTGCTTGTTCCTTCCCTCATTACCTCCTCATTATTTTGGGAACTTCAATGTTACTCGGCCCGATACTGGGAAGTATACATTTGGTAACTCACTAAACTGGAAACTTGGAGTGCATGGTTCTTCCCACTAACAAGTTTGGAGAGTCAATGGGGAATGGGAACATGTGGGCAGATAATGGGTCCAACATCTCAACGAGGAACTGACAGGTGTTGACTGCCTTGTTTGCCTGTGAGTGAATGCCATTGGTTGGTTTGTGGAGACGTGTGGTCGAGGTTTCGACCCTCATAAACGAGACGACTGGAGCCAACATTAGCCTGGCTTGTTCGGGGTCCCGCTTGTGTTGGCGGAGCATATATAACCGGGTCACTTGGCTGTGGAGCGTCAGTACAGCTTGGGAGACTCTCAGTGTTGTCTGTGTATCCATCATGTTTACTATGCGTTGTGTCGTAAGTGTATTATAACTTTAAATTATTCGGAACATTTAACGTGTATTAATAGTTTATTTTGAAATTTTATGGATTTGAAGTTTAACTAAAACGTTGTTTTCAGAGCCTGGTTCTCCTGCTGGTGCTCATGGCTCTACTACACTTCTCGACTGCTCAATATTTTCACGATCGTCGGTACCAGCCAGTGTATGGCCAAGGTTACTACCAGGACAACTACGGGTATCGTCCCACGTACGGCCACGGTTATCAACAGTACTACGACGACGGGCTCTATGGTAGACACAGGTGCGGAGAATTGTTAACCTTTAAAATGTATTGTATAATTTTGGTACACAAAATTAAGTAGACTAGCTCTTAAAAATGTAAATTTCCTTAACTTTAGCCGGTGACCTGAGAAATTAACTAATGTAAAATTAAGTATTTAAAGATGTAAACTTCTAATAGATTTTAAGATGCTTTAATTTATATATAAAAGCGTTCCTGTCGGCAGAAGGGTCTTGGGAAATGTCTTTACAAATCATTTGGGTAGATTGCTGTGCTTCCTATACCTATTAATGTATTACAAATATTGAAGATTAACTCTTTAGACGCCGCTTGTGCTAAGGTCTTTGGTTAACCTGGTTACTACTAGTAGATAGTTTAGACATAACATCGACCGCATGTGACGTGTATAGTTTAAAAACCTGTTATATATGTTCATCGCGTGCCTATTAAACCTGTCGTGTGGTCAGTTTTTAATCCTCCTGATACGCGTTCTCGTGTACTTTATTTCTGTACAAACTTGGAATTTTTAGTCTCAAACATAAATTACACTCCCGCTAATGCTTTAGATTTTAAATTTTCAGTGGGTCCTAATAGCTTACTTTGCTAGTGGCTTACGGCATTAAATTTTGCGGGCTCACCATAGACCGTGCCACTTGGAACTTTGTTTCAGGTAGCAAATCTTAAACTGCAGCATTACGGCATTAATTTTTAGTCTCCTAGTCTGCATTTATCCAGCCATGACTCTGCATACTAGTATTACAACAAAGCGAGCGCAAGTCGCTAATGAGCATTAGCGTGGAAATGATTTGTTCAGAGGGTTCATGTCGGTTAAAGGGAATTTTGCGTAATTATCGGAAAAACCACATTGGTACATTGAACTTTATTTCTAATAGATTAGTTTCTACTCGTGGTCTCTAGTACTGCAATAACAAACTTCTCTATTAAACGTAATTTTCTGATTTTCTTTACTGTCGGTGTTCTAGGTAGTGATTAACATACTAGACTTGAATCAAACTAAAACAAAATTGATTGGCAAATCCTTCATACCAGGAATTGCTTAAAATTTGTATGTAAATTTGTAGGAAGGATGGTATCTTGTATAAAATTTATTCAATCTAATGCAGTGTTACAAGCTTACAGCACTTGCTCGTAGATTTGACCACAACGGTACACTTCTGGCAGTACTTGGAAATCTAGTAAATAGACATTTCCGTCTAAACTAGAAAAAAATCGTTAAATACTTTTGAAATGCGGATATGGCCACCATGTCATAAATTGTAAAAAAAAATAATGGGCGCAGTTTTCTCCTCTCATTTAAAGCACTTAGACTTCAAATATTAGTTTATTGAAAACATTCTGCACAAGTACAGAACTAGAAAACTTTGTCCAGCTGATATTGATTACCTTACTTTGTCAAGGTGAAGCTCTCGTATGAAGAAATGGTCCCCCGTGCTTGCTAATACTTCCCTGGGAAACTTAATATAATGTGGTATGAATGTAACTTAATATTGGCTTTAACTTTCAGTACAAACTAGTTTGTAACTTGAATCTTTCTAAAGAATGCTTTAAATTTTGTTATTACTTACTCGAATGCCTTTTAAGCTAAACGGCTACCACACAACTGACGGTAAAGTAACTTACCGTCAGGGAAGTAAGTATAATGCTTAGACTAGAAGATAAGCATACGAAAATGCGTAACTTTTTGTGTAAAGATAGATATCTACTTGTACCAAGAGGCCATTAGTACCTAGTTATTTGAAATGTGAAGAAAATTGGGTGAAAATCTGACTTGTTGGAAGGCGTGAGAAGCTATTGTAAACGACAGTACTTGAGTAAACTGGGGATAATTGGTACGTAGAGATGTGCAGTGGCTCAGCTATGAAAATGATAATTTTTTTTTCTTTTCAGGTATAGGTACTGAAGACCAAGAACTCTGCCATCAGATAATACATGTGAAGATTACTAGCGTTTTGTAACTTGCACTGAATAAACTTGTTTCAATGAATTTTACTCTAAACATTCCAATCATTAAATTCTGCCTTCCTGTAACTTTACCCGTTAACAGGATTAATAAATCCTCATGGTAGTTATAAACGTGAAATGGTACCAAAAATTATAAGTTAATACATTAATTACTTCATGTAATCCTTGACCAATAATAAACTTCAGCTTGGTATGCTGAATCTAACGGTCCCACAAACTACTTGCACTTCACTAAATTTCTCCTAAGTATGTACCCAGTCTACGTAAGACTAGTCATTTTTGGATAGCCTTCCTAGTATTTCGGGTACCGCTTCATATAAGCAGTTTTTGTAGTTGTTAAATATAAATTCTAAATGCTAAACTTCACTTTAGCCGACTGACCAATTTTTTTACTTTTTCCCGTTTCTTCGGAAAAGTGACTAAACTGTACTGTTGGTTTTACTGCTCATAGGTCCTTGGCTCTACAGTGCCATACACAGGTTGTGCTAAAGTGTGCACTCTAATATTGTGCCATAGTAAACTAGGCTACAGCCATTTTTTTATCGGTTTTGCCATTGCCTAATTTGTTGTGCCTCGAATGGGGTTCTAGAGTAACATTCGTGCAACCAAATTCAGCGCTAGTTAGTTACCCATGAAATTGACGAGGCGTTATGACTTCTCACAATCACTCATTCCCATAGTTTCGGTTAACCATTGCCTCGTGCTTAAAGTTTACAGCCTTCTCGGTTTGCTGCCTTTTGATACTTGCATGCTAATTATATATATTAAAATATATATATTAATATATAAAATATATATAAAAAATATATTAATTTGTATTTTAATAAATATATTTATTAAAAAATTTATATAATGCGCGCGTTTATTTGATATAGCATACTCCATATAAATTTCTGATAGCACTTCTATCCCTCTAAAGTTTTCTAGTAAGAGGGTTCAGGTGGAAGAAGAGTTCACCAAAGTTTTATTTTTTTAAGTGTAACTGCAATACATTCAGTTATTCACTTCTTTTTCTTCCCCTTGAAATAGTGAAGTCTTCGACGCTGCCCTCCGCTCTATTCCTCGCTCTTCCTCTCGGGGAACGCGGAAGTGAGTTTCCTTGTGGACTGTGCTCGGGCTGTTCGCAACAATCGTGCAACCTGGAAGAGACATCGTCTCCGCCATACGACTGAATCTTTTATTGTTTTGGGAAAGTGCGGTGGCCCGTAGGACCATCCGTACGGCATAACTTGCATGTTGAATGTCTTTTCTCCACCATCACGTCTGAAACTCCTCCACCGCTGATCTGGAAGCGTATCCGCAAGATAGCGGGCAAGTTCGTTCTGTGGTACTCTTGTGGTGGACCCGTTGCGGTTGCGACCGAATTGGGTTCCCATTTTTCATCTAAGCTCGGGTTCTAATCTCCCTCGTTCCTTTCTTCGTAAGCTTCTTCCTGAATCTGGTTCTTTGGATTTCTCTACTAGTCTCAACCTTCCCTATAACGCTCCCTTCTCTCTCCCTGAGCTCGTTTGCCCTGGCCCTCTGCGGTTCTACAGCAGCAGGCTTCGATGGCATTCATTGAGATACTTCGACATCTCCCTCCGTGCTCGTCTCGGTATTTACCGAGTGTTTAATCGGGTCTGGGAGTCGTCGTCAGTCCCCCGAGGACTAGCTTGATGCTGTTGTCCTCGCTGTTCGGAAACCAGGGTCTCTCGGGGTCGTCCTCAAAGGACTTCAGCCCTATTGCCCTCAAGAGTTGTCTGCAAGCTCTTTGAACATATGGTTAACGTTCGTCTGTGATCCTAAGAGCACTATCACCCCCTTTCCCCTTCTCGATTTGGTTTTTGCAAGTGCCTCGGCACAACGGATGTCCTGGTGAACTTGGTCTATATTCGTATTGTTTTTACTGCAAAGACTTCCGTTGTCCTTTTTGACCTGGAAAAGGCTTAAGACACTACCTGGCGGTATCATATTCTGTCCCGGCTTCATTCTTTTGGGCTTCGTGGGAATCTCCCGCTTCCTCCAAAGTCTCCTCTCTCGTAGTTTCTTTAGTGATGCTTGGTACCACTCTGCCCCTTTTCGGCAATGAGGGTTTGCCCCAAGGTAGTGTTCTGAGCATTACTTTTTTTTCCTTTTGCTCTCAATGGTCTTTTCCTCCTGGCGTCCTATCTGCTCTCGACGATCTTGCCCTTTGCTGTCGGTGGTGATTCGCCTCTTCAACGGCGGCTTCAACTTGATTGATGCCATGTCGTCTTGGGTCACTGATCATAGCTTAAAGTTCTGTGTCTAAGACTTGTGCTATGACTTACTCGGAAGCGTGTCATTCTTCGGTCATCTGTGTCGCTTCATGGACATCCCATTGTGTACAAGGATTCCGCCAAGCTTCTGGGGTTAATCTTTGACACTCATTTGTCTTGATCAGTCCATATCTTACCTCTGCGCTGAATGCTCTAGGGGCCTTTCCCTCATTAAGGTTTTATCCCATACTTCTTGGGGAGGCGGATAGGCGCGCACTCCTCGCTTTACATTCCTCTCTCGTCCTGTCTAAACTCGATTAGGGTTGCCCTGCTTACTCGTCAGCTTCTCCTCCTCCTCTTCGCCGTCTTGATGCTTTGCACCATGCTGGGTTGTTCCTCGGCTCTGGTGCCTTTCGTTTGACTCCTGCCTTCAGCTTGTATGTTGACACTGAATGCCTATCTCTCCAGGACTGCAGTGATCACTACCGTCTTCGCTATCTGGCACAGTCCTTGCAACATCCTTCCCCTCGCGTCTGT